GATTATCGACACCTGACTCCAATCACAATCACAGCGCGAAGTCTTGTTCAGCTGTAAGCAGACACCACTGAGCGTATTCCATGTTTATCTTGCCTTGTTTTTGCCTTGCCTTGCCTGTGTTTTTGGACCATGGACTGTTTCCTTGTTTTTGTGATTGTTTGCTGCCTGCCCTGACCATTGCCTCTATTGGATTACTCTTTTGCCTTGCCCTGGATAGTTGTTTGCTGGTGTTGGACCCTGCCTGTTCTGACCACAAACCGTTTTAATAAAAGCTTACATTTGGATCTCCGTTGTCACGCCCAGTCCCGTCACATGCACATAGAATTTGGCTGAGAAATTACCCTCAAAAGATAATTTAAAGCCATTATTGTGTTGAATAAGAAAAACATCAAACAGACATCACAAAAAGTAGCTTTAGGAAATAAATTTTTTTTTTTGATTCAACAGAATTTATTACACAAACTTTTAGGGCTACAATGGCATAACATAAACTGTGGAACATATATATTCTTACCTGTTGGACTTGTTTGTGTACTGTGACTGGTGGCTTCAGTGGTTGGTGGTGCAGTCGACGTGAATATGATTGCCTTCCTTAGCCAAACCTTACTGTATTCTTCAACGAATGCAGCTCTGAATAGAAAATTGAAGATCAGATTTACAAACTAAATGCAATAAAAGTGTAAAGATGTTAGTTTCATTTCGTCTTATTAGGCTGCACAGAAAAACTACCTGAAGAAAAACACTCCAGTCTCTTCGGGGGTCCACAACACTTGAACTATCGTTTTTCTTTGGTTATTAGTTTGAGCCACAGCATGGCCCTGATAATATATCCATATCATAAACAGTGCAAGTCAGTTTAAGGAATTAATTGCTATAACATTTAACACATGGTGTAAAAATGTATAAAGAATGGATAACTAATATGTGTAGTGGGTGCAGGGCAGGACTCACACCACAGATGAGTATGCTGTTGGCCGGGTTAGTCAAATTAAACATGCCAGCAGACTCACACTTATCACACTTACGAGCGTCCAACATGAAACCCGTAAATTCAGCCGGATAAGCCGTAACCGAGACTATGGTAAAATGAGAGATTTTGAATTGACACATCTGAAAAGCCATTATGTTTTACACCGATAAAATAAAATAAAGTGAGAAAATCTACCATTATTCTCCGTTCCCAGTTCAGAATCTGTCACTTCTATATATTCTGGTTCGATCTTGAAAGGGGCTTCACCGTTTTGTGCTGGTACACTGGAAGAAGAAGAAGAATAAGAAAAAGTACTAATTCTGCGATGACATATCCAGTTACCGTAAAACACACAGTGCAGTGCAAACTTCAAAAATACAAGTAAAACACCTGTAAAAAATAAATACGGAAAATTCCGTAACAGTGTAAGTTATTTGTGCACCATTCCCACATACCCATGTTTGATATCCATTCCTTGACATTCACTCTCCAATAAAAATCCATCGCCGTAACAGGTGATGAATTCCAGCATGGTAAATCCAAATGAAAGGAAAAGGAGACCGCACGAATTGTACATCTGAAACGGCCAAAAACCACGAAAACAATCACAGAAATTTAAACTACACACTTTTAACAATTTATGTTTATAGATTCTTATGAAGTTCAATAGTAATTAAGATATGACAGTAGCCTGCGTTGTTATGCGCTTTGCTGATCAAAGAGAGGAATAAAACCTTATGTCTTGCTGTCAAGTCGACTCTATACATTGCCCTTTGGCTCAACGTTAAATTGGCTGAAGGCCCTCTTTTGGCCAATCAAGGTATTACGATAAAAGAAATAGTAGCCTATATATAATAGCAAATAGCAGCTTTGTATTCTGGGGTAATCATTGTCCTGCCCCAGTTAAAACATGACGTGCACAAGGAAGTACATATTAGGCTACTGGATGGCTGATATGATAACAGTTCGTTATAAGTATAAAGTAATCATGAGGTCACAGATCAACAACAAGGATACAGAGCCAATACTTCCTTCTGTAAGTAAAGGTTTTTGGGTTAAATGCAAGTGAGATGTTGTTGTTTAAAAAGGATATTAAACCATAAACAAATCATTAGCTTCAAGTGAAAGTTTTTTTCAGAGACAGAAGAACACGTCATTATAAGATTAGGTTACAATTATAAGCATGTCTTATTTAAAATAACATATGCTGAATTGTATACAACAAAATCAGGAATGCTGAGAACTCTCTACAACAGGCTGAATGTGAGAGAAAGTTAGTCCTGCAAAAATCTGACCTAAATTGTAAGTTCATGTCACAGTCCTATATAATGAAAACATTAATAAACAAATAGTAGGCCTACAGTCCAGCATTCTTTGATAAAAGAGAGCTGTAGACTTTTAGGTTCAGTTCATCAAGTTTGTGTAAACTCAGATTTTTTACAATACAAAAGTCAGTACACCAGCAACTGGGAACCAGAATCCAAAACAGAATATGTAACATTATTTGCCATCTAGAAAACAGCCCTGCATCTTGAAGAAAATTTATGATGATTTGCTCAAAAGGCCTAATATTACCTAATTTGATGATGCTGAGTTAAAAAATAATCACATACAGTTTTTTTTTCTTTCACAAAATAAGAAAGATTTTTCAAATCATTTATGCATCAGCTTTAATGCACTTAAAAAAAATAGCCAAAGCAGTCAATTGGTTTTAATGACAAAAAGTATTCAAAATGTATCATTTAATTTACATTATGCCACAGAATGGAAAAATGTATTCAAATACTCCATTTAATGCCAAAGAACTTTACATCTGGGTCATGTTTGCATTTTCTTCTGTCTCTGTCATAACCTTGAGATCAGGATTAGGCATAAAATATTGTCTATTGAACAAAGCTAAGAATTGAACAAAGTGTTGTAACCTGGCCCAGAGGAAGACAGGAATCATGTCTTTATGATAGTTTTTCTGGTGACTAATGAATAATACAAGACTTCTTCACCTTACAAATGGTTATTGAAAGCAAAAATATCATATGTACATATTTTGTGAGAAAGTGTGAAGTGCTAGAGCAAAACAGGCACTATTTTTGGAATCATCACCCCAAAATTAACAAGTAGGCTATTGGATTTCATTCAGAAAATTATGGTTCAGTGTAATACAAAAACTGTTATTATTTTCAATATAAATAATAAAAATCACTGTGCAAGTTGAATAACATTCAAAATAATCATGACAGATGAAAAAGATTAGAGGAAAAATGTTTGGCCGTCTTCCAACAGGAACGTATAAAGGCTAGGAAATTAATAAATAACTTGTAACAATAAAAATGAGGAAGATTGTTACAAATCATTACTGATAAGAATTGGAGGTGAAGAGAATGTGAAGTAGTGATATTTGAAAACATAAATAGACATACATGCTAAATAGTTTCGTCAAGCCAGAATTTAACCCTCTACCGCATGGTGTTGCCATATGGCAACATACTCTTTGTGTTCATTTCCTTGCCACTGTCTCTTTAAGAGGACATTCTCGTTTTTTTTGATGGAAAGAGAAGACCTTAGTTTAGCCAATGATGTGCTTTGGTTAAGTCACATGACATGCAGTTTTTTTTCTGTGGCGAGATTTCTGTCAGACTGACGTCTCTTGTCAGTAGTTGCTGAAAGCAAACTGAAACGTCAGTAACAAACAAGGACCTATGGTGGACCAGTAGTGCACAACACAACGACATTAAAAAAGCAAACATAAGCTCAAAACACAACGATAACATTAAAAAAACAAACATAAGATCAAAACACAACGACATTAAAAAAGCTAACATAAGCTCAAAACACAACGCAATTAAAAAAGCAAATATAAGCTCACAACATAACGACATTTAAAAAGCTAACAAGCTAAAAACACAAAGACATTAAAAAAGCAAACATAAGCTCAAAACATAACATTAAAAAAACAAACATAAGCTCAAAACACAACGCAATTACAAAAGCAAACATAAACTCAAAACACAACGACATTAAAAAAGCAAACATAAGCTCAAAACAACGCAATTAAAAAAGCAAACATAAGCTCAAAACAACGCAATTAAAAAAGCAAACATAAGCTCACAACACAACGCAATTAAAAAAGCAAACATAAGCTCAACAAAACAACGCAATTAAAAAAGCAAACATAAGCTCACAACACAACGCAATTAAAAAAGCAAACATAAGCTCAAAACACAACGACATTAAAAAAGCAAACATAAGCTCACAACACAACGACATTAAAAAAACTAACATAAGCTCAAAACACAACGACATTAAGCCGCAACACAACGGAAATGCTCCCGATCACTAGGGGGCAGTGTTGGCAGTGAAACACCGATACTTCCTCGAAAGTAGAAAATTCTCAACGTAAGTGATTGATCTTAATATGTGTAATCGATTTTTATATGAACAATGTGTTTTTACTGAATGTTTTTATCCTGTTTATCTTAATGTATCGATTAATGAATAGAGCAGAAAATAAATCAATATTATTTTCGATTTGGACAGTTTAGCTCTGCACTTGTTTTATGAACGTCCACTGAAATATCATTTCAACCGTTGTTTTCTTAGGCTGGCATGTTTTGTCCATTTTGTGGACACGATCTGGGGACTAGTGTAGCATTTTGTGGCTCGTGTGGTCAAAATGTCCAGTTTTTAGCTGAAGTTCAACGTGGTAAGTTTGCATTATGTTTACCGTCATGTAATATACATGTGTTGAAAACTGGCCTCAAATAAAAATGATATAATGACAATATTATTATAGGAAGAACCTAAAGTCTAAAGTTATTCTTATTGGAGCATGCCGTTTATTCACTAAATGTTAGGCAGGTGTTTCTAACAATTAAAGTTGTGATTTAAATAGTAACATTTTATGTATTTAAAGTTAGCATTGTGTCCAATTTAATTAAGTATTATTTATGTCTCTCTTTGTATAGTCATTTAAAACACCTTAATTCTATATTTTATTCTTTCTTGATGGTTAGAGTCATCTGTCCAAGTTTCTGAGGATGATCTTCTTCAAAAGTACTTCAGAGATGGACACAATTACAGTGTCATTCTGGACTTCTTGGCATTGAAGCACAACATTAAAATGAGCCTTCGTACCCTGAAAAAAAAATTGAACAACCTGTCCTTGTACTAACGAAAAAACTACTCGCCTTTGGAAATTGTTCGGACTGCTATTATTGATGAGTTGAGTGGTTCTGGACAGCATTATGGCTACCGCACAATGTGCCAGACCCTACGCCAAAAACACAATCTTACAGTGAGGAGGCAAGATGTAATGCTTATGATGGCAGACCTTGATCCAGTAGGCATTGAACAACGCTCAAGAAGAAGATTTGTGAGAAGGGTTTACCATTCTTTAGGGCCAAATCATGTCTGGCACGTTGATGGCTATGACAAATTAAAACCATATGGTTTGGCTATAAGTGGCTGCATCGATGGTTACTCACGCAAAGTGATGTGGTTAGTTTGTGGAGCGAGCAATAACGACCCAGACATTATAGCTCATCATTACTTACAGTGTGCCAGTGAATTTGGAGTCATACCAAAGCTTCTTCGCACTGACTGTGGCACTGAAAATGGAACAATGGCTGCAATCCACTGTTCCCTGAGATCAACCCACACAGATGACCTGGCAGGGGCTTCAAGCCATATGTATGGCTCCTCAGTCACAAACCAAAGAATTGAAAGCTGGTGGTCATACTTCAGAAAACAAAAGTATAGTCCACACATTCATGATATTTTGGGGTTGTATTTAACATGTCTTTCTGAATTTTACAGTTGGAAATGTTAAGTTAAAGCATGTTATAAGATAATAGCCTATTCAATGTCTAAAAGGGATGTTGATGTTATTGTTGGTCTATTTACACAGGTCTCAGTTTTGGATGGATCTTCTAAATGACTTGAAAGAGAGACAGCTCTTTAATGGCAGTCATGAGCAGATATGCTTAATGCGTTTTGTGTTTTTAAGTGTACTGCAGAAGGACCTTGACGAATGCAAAGAAATATGGAACACTCACACCATTAGGGCAGTTAACCAGTCTCGCTGTCCTTCTGGTAAACCAGATGCAATGTATGCTCTTCCACACAGGTTGGTATGTGACTGTATTTAACTGTTTTTAATTTTTGTAATGAAATTGTTACGATATTAGTTAACACAAAATGTCAAACTCTGCTATCATTCATCCACCCTTATGCTGTTCCAAAGCCATGAGATTTACTTTCTTCTATAGAACACAAAATGGAGATACATTATAAAATGTCTTGCATAACATTAACTTTCATTCCCTGTTCTGCTGTAAAATTAAATTGAAAAAAGGAGATTGAGGCTAAAATTCTACTCCACAGAAGAAAGTCATTCAACTTTGGATTGACATGAGGTTTAGCAGTTATATTTTGGGGCGAGGCGACAGAATTAATGAATAATTACAGAATTAATTACCAATAAACCTTTATTGTGTTTAATACTGTACTTTGAATTTTCATATTAAACAATATAATGGCTCTTTTATTCAAAGGTTTAATGGAAGAGAATGTGGATTTTGCATCTCACAGGAAAACTTGAACGAGTTTTTTGTTGAACTTACTCGTAGCACATGTGGAGATGGACAGTTGCAGGCACACTTTGAAGAACTACATGCTCAAAGCAATCTGACTACATCTTACACCTGGGAGGCTGGTGTGGAGAACTACATAACTTTAAAGAACATGGCCCACATTTAAACAAATAAAAGAAAGAAAAGGCATTTCTCACCCAAAAATGAAAGTTGTCAATTTATTTAAACCCATAAGAGTTTCTCTCTTTTGTTGAAAACAGAAGGTGATATTTTGAAGAATGTTGGTAACCAGACACTTGACAGTACTCACTGACTTCCACAGTAATTTTTTTTCCTACTATGGAAGTCAATTAATACTGTCAAGTGTCTGGTTACCAACATTATTCAAAATATCACCTTGTGTTCAACAAAAGAAAGAGAGAAACTCATACGGGTTTGGAACAACATGAGGGTGAATAAATTGTGACAATTTACATTTGTGGGTGAGCTATCCCTTTAACATTTCACATTGTTCTACTCAGTGCAATCCAAAACCAGGTGAGTTTTGAATACCAAAATCCATTGCATTTTTGAACTCTTCATATTAAATATGCTCACCAGTGGCTGAAAAGTCTTGAACTGTGCATATGAACAGTGTTATTCTTTGGTAAGTCTTCCCAATTGCCTCTTTGTACAGCTGTAGTTTAAAAGGGGTGTTTGTTCCAGGAATATGTTTAACCTCTGAACAATCTGGGTACAGTAAAACATAGGGACCCTCTTCCATGTCCTGATTAAAATCTTTTACTTTCTTTTCACCAGCTATTAACACTTGTTCAGATGACCAGTTTGTTTGAACTTCAAGAGGCAGGCTCCTCCCTCTCATGGGCTTTAGAACACCATCATGTCTTTTCATAATTCCAATGTAAATCTACACATGAAAAGAATAAACAAAAATGTCACAAACTGAACATTAAAATAGGCTTTAATATGGGTGTGTGACTAATTAATAAAATATTTATAAAAACTGATTGATTAAAAGATAATCATGACTTTTAAACTAGTTAATATCTACAATTCCTCAATTCAGCACTGCTCTAAATTCCATAGGAAACAGATTTTCCAGATAAGGATACTGATAATACTATCTATCCTTTAATTTGAAGTAATTATGAAATGGAAGTTACAATAGTCTTCATCCCTATTGTGACGTATAAAAGATACCTTCAGTGTTTTTTTATCCTTCTTAGAGTCATGATTTTTCTTTGTAAAGAAGGTTTTCCTCTCCTTCTCCTTTAATGCCCTGTACTTCATGAAGCAACCCACTGAACTTTTCTGTTTTTCCTGCTTCAAAAACATTGTCATAGAAATCTCTCACATTATACTCCACAGTTTACAAAGCAGCTATTCTGTTCCAAATCTAAGGCCCTATGAAATCCGTTTTATTTTTTCCCAAATTTCTTTCTTTTTTTCAAAATTCCTCCCCCCAAATTCTGCTTTTTTCCCATTTTAATGGTTAAAATAAACTTTAGAAACCAAATAGCATGTTCAATTAAATGAAATCCTGAAACTTATTCAGTTTAACAATGTATTAAGTGTTTTTTTTAGGAACAATACAACACAACAATAGATATATTTGTCACAATTCACGTTAGACTCACTGAACTTTTATTTATGACGGGCTGATGTGAAGACGCTTCAGTTTTTGTGAGTACATGATATGAAGATAGTTTTTCAAAAATAAAACGGTAAAATGCTGGTGAAGCGGCTCTCAAAGCAGCCCTTATACGTCTGCGCCATTTAATCACACGGATACACGCAGAGCATATTAAGTATTCATATTTAAGTAGTCCTTTTGCGGTTTAATATTCACCTACTAATCCACTTCGAGATTTCATTAGGTGTACAACACTATTTTAATTTATTCATCCAAAATTTGTCAAATTCCGTGACAATCCGCGTTATTCGACTAATTCCGTTTGACTGGATTCCGTGATTCCATCCGCGTTTTCAGCATCGCGGAAATCATAGGGCCTTACAAATCAATACAGTAAAGTTAACAGCCTCGCTATGTAACTTACCTGCACTGGTGCTGGGCTCATTTCCATCAGGAACTTTGTCTCTGAGAAACTGTACGCTTTTTCCACATGTGCTGCAAAAAGAAGGGCAGATTTCAAGCGTAGCCCCACAAAATGGACAATACATTGCGAACTGAAATAACGCCAGGGAGCAAGCAACGTTAAAACTATCAAAGCAGGTTCTGACTGCCCGGTGGCGCCCGCGAATACTCGTGACATGCGCACAATTGCCCATTTCTGCAGACCAACTGCCCCCTAGTGGTCGGGAGCATTTCCGTTGTGTTGTAAACTTATGTTTGCTTTTTTACCAAAATCCATTGCATTTTTGAACTCTTCATAACTTTTGGACATTGGCAGTTGTATTGTGTTGGCACAGGTGCTTGCAATAGGGAATTTAGAAGTCCTCTCAAAACTCAGTCGGGGCTGAGGCACAATTGTTGAAGGAGGCAGTGAATCCAATCCCGTAGCAAACATTAGGATGTCCTGGAGGGAGACTCCTGTTTCTTGTTCTGAAAAACAAACAAACAATGGAATATCATGAAATATGTAATAAACAACAATAAAATGTAACGTTCAATCCTTTACCTCCAGTGTCAAGCAGATAATCTCTCCAGTATCCCAGAATTCTTGTTTCTTCTTGTCGTCTGGTGCTACCAGCTTCGCTGAGCAGAGCCTTGAAGACACCCTCCAGAGATTCAGGTGTTAGTCTGTCAACACTGTAGCACATATAGGGTCTGAATACACTAGGATGTTGTTCCAGGGCATGGATGACATCCAGGGTGGAAAGCCCATCCCTAAATCTGTAAGCCAAACATCATCACAAAGTGATGATAATGATAACACTGATAATTATCATATTCTCTCAAATTAGGAACAAGACTTACCTTTGTACCGAGTACTGGTTTCTGTATATTATGTACCATTGTATGAAATCCTTCACAATGTTGTCTTTGCCCTCTACACTTTGTGGGTAATCAAAACATCCAGCAGTCTGCAGCAAGCTTTCATACTTGTCAATAAGCATGTGTAATTCATGCAGTGATGCTGCACTGGATATCTGGGGTAAATGGGTAGCAATTAAATTCTAATATATTTTCCATGAAGCCAATATAAACAGGTCTGTAACTGTTAATCCTTAAACCATTATAGGAACAAAAATGTAACTTAAAATAAGCTTAAAAGAAAATTGAATGCACCTCAATTAAAGCTGCTTTCATGGTCTTATCTGTTACATCCTCAACTGTTCCATTAATGTCAGCACTACCAGTGAGGTGATCGTACAGCATATCTGAGAGAAAGCGAGGACCTGGACCACCGTGAACAATAGAAACTGCGATCATCCGCACAGCAAGGAAGTATTCATCTTCTCTGACAGCTGTAGGAAAAGGATTGTTTTACTACACTTATTGAAAAAGAAGACAGTAATGAATAGTGCAGCTAAAAGCTACAATTAAGTAAATAATTTACCTCCATTATTAAAGGTGAGAAATCTCCTATTTTCTGGACCATCAAAGATTCTCCGTGCTCTTAAACAGTCCATTAGGAGGGATAGAAACTCGCGTTTCGGACCACCTGTGTCCACTGCATCTTCAGTTGTGCCTTCATCATCTGTGAATTTGACAAGCATGTCATGCAATGGATCATATGATGCACGTTTAAAACCGCGAACTGCTCCATCCCAAACATTAGCTCGATTTATGTTGAATCTGCTGCAAGATGTCCTTATGATCTTCTGTGAGAGATCAGACACAATGTCTGCAGCAGTGAATGCATCTGAGCTGTAAAACAGAGGTTTTGATTAAGCAAATACATCATGATGCAATAAAAAAAAATAGAGTGAATACATTTAGAAACATGACATTGAGAGTAATTAATAAATTACAACCATTCCTCTTCAACATGTTGTGTGCTCTGGTCTGGCTCTTCTGAATCACTTTCGATTACTATTGGTGCATACAGACGTGTGTAATTGCTGTAAAGAGAAAAAAAATAACAGTAATTTACATCCATTTACATACAAAAGTAATTGTAGACCATTAAAAGTAATTTAAAGCAATTAATTTAATACTGAAGCAATTTATCTTTTGAGGTAACTCAAGCTTACGTGTAGCACTTTTGTTGGTCACATACATGTTCATGGATGTTTGTTCTGATTTTTCCTGCTTCCTACATTTGTCAGAAATATAACAAATATTAAAATATATGTATTTTTTTAGTTTTTTTAAATTAAAAAAAAAAAACTATAACTGATATTAAACCCCATAAAACATAATAATTTTTTATTTGTTGTAACATACTAAGGTTGTAACATACAAGGTATGAACATAAATGATGAACTTACTTGTTCCAAAAAAGGCAGAGAGTGATCAGGGTGTCTGAAAAACAACAACTATACATTAATTTGAACAACTCTTAAGCTCCAAAGAATGTCCTAACTTTGCTAAAGTAATACCTGTCCAATGTGCTTCCTGCCTTTGGTGTTCTTGCTTCCTCTGGACTATCCCATATCTGCATAGAGAACACATAGCAGGAGTTAAAATGAGTTACAATTAACGTTATATTTATTTTTGGATACATGCAATTAAATGCACCCACCAAAGTGTCATTTTCATCAAGTGGACTGTGAGAGGTAGATTTTACTTGCACTTCACTGTCTTCACTAGAAGAATCCCCATTACAGTCTTCAAACAACAATTATGAACATAAGGAAATTTCACTTTGATTTAAAACCATGTGTATATAGTGTTTTATACATGTCTATGTAAGATTTACATTAAATTAAATATGCTCACCAGTGGCTGAAAAGTCTTGAACTGTGCATATGAACAGTGTTATTCTTTGGTAAGTCTTCCCAATTGCCTCTTTGTACAGCTGTAGTTTAAAAGGGGTGTTTGTTCCAGGAATATGTTTAACCTCTGAACAATCTGGGTACAGTAAAACATAGGGACCCTCTTCCATGTCCTGATTAAAATCTTTTACTTTCTTTTCACCAGCTATTAACACTTGTTCAGATGACCAGTTTGTTTGAACTTCAAGAGGCAGGCTCCTCCCTCTCATGGGCTTTAGAACACCATCATGTCTTTTCATAATTCCAATGTAAATCTACACATGAAAAGAATAAACAAAAATGTCACAAACTGAACATTAAAATAGGCTTTAATATGGGTGTGTGACTAATTTATAAA